AAGGCATGCCTGGTGGAAGCTTGCCATTAGGCATGTCGGAAACACCTCAGCCAGCAAAGTCGCAAAGGCAAGGTTCGTCATCTCCCACATCCACCAGGCGAAATTGCTTGCATTCGCGCAGGCACGGTTCGCTTTCCGTGTGGAAGGCGCATGGGACTCAACCGTAGCAAGGCTACTGCCTGAAGTGACAAAGGAACCCTTGGGGCCTTCTCTTCCGGAAACATGTCCAAGCACCAATTCAATAGGCCCAAGGGCTCGCTTTGAAGACTTCCCGCTTGCCAACGCATGTATGTGGAAGGCTTTGGACCCATGGCTACCTTTCAGGGCCAGGGTCGACATGCAACAATCTGAGCCAGGCTTGCATATTTCAGCCAGACTCTACAGTCGAGAAATGAAGCAAATGGATGTGGTTCCTGAAACTGGTCTCAAATGAAATAAGACAATAAACAACAATTGACATGTATTCCATCTCATTGAGCGAACTATCATGCTATCGGTTGACTATCTAAGCCTCTCTGTCCATCCCAAACGCAGGCGCAAGGCCGGCCAAATGCCGGAACGGTCAGACCTGCTTGCACACCCAACCTTTCACTGGTCTCCTCAAAAGCTCGCGCCTAGGCAAAGCTTCGTGCTGGTGAATAAGAGTGCGAACCACATGAAACCGCAATGCTTTCCAAACGGTGCAATGGGATTTGTGCGCTATGTTGCCTCTGGTTGCAAAACCTTCCTCTACTGGACTGTCGGTTTGCCAAGTTCAACAGCACTGGGACCTCCCATGGCTCACGATCAATTCATGCTTTACCAAACATCTGCTAGCCAGAGCGAACACTCGGACACGACAAGGATCAGCTGCTACCTCAAAGTCCGAGTCTTTCCAAGGTGCAAGCTCTTCACCTCACTCAAGAGGATCGCCGCTAGGGCCGTGAGCAAGGCAAGCATTACCTCAGTGCGACGTCACTGTAGTGATGGCCTTCCAGGCCTAACAGCAGCACTCCTAAGTAGCTAGCGTCACATGATCGCTGTTTCAGTCAACTGTCTCCCGCCCCGCTGCTAATTCTATACTTGCAGGTCCCAATCAGACGGAAGGTGGGCGCAAGATGGGGCACAGCTTCGGTACCGCTAAAGACCAGCAGGCTTAAGCAGAACAAGTCACTGAAGAGCGTGCTTGTGATGCAAGGAGTGGATGGTTGAATGTTTGTGACGCAAGCCGTGTTTGCACCAGCAGTTGTTCACCCCACTGGGCGTACTGGCGGGGAGTGCTTTTCGCAACGGGGATCAGGGACCACTTGGAAGAAACGGCAACACACATTCACAAGCTGGATTGCTGTTTTTGTGGAACAAGCAACTTGCATGCGTGGAACGGCATGGTCTTTATTGAATAATTTGACTTTGAATGGGCATAGGTTTGCAGCCCAGGCATGCGGTGTGCGCTTAAGGAAAGGCAACAAACGTGTTTGGCTTCAGTTCTTCACTTGGCATGCTGGGACCCACAGCTCTTTCCGAGTCAAGGTGTAGCATGCTCAAGTAACAAGGGAAACAAATACTAGAGCATTGGTTTGAGCCAAACAAAAAGATGCATTTATGGACACGGCGCGCCCGGCCGCACAACAAATGTAAGTGGCCTGCTGCTTGATGAAGCAACGGGCGAATGAGCTGTCGTCTTGATTGGGCACGCAAGCCGTTTTTCTGGAGTCATCCATCTCGTTGGACAAAAGCAAGATCGTACCCCCACTTGCCTAGAAGGTGAAAGCTCCAAACACAGGAAAGGGTTCCATGTGGCCCGTTTGGCTCTCTCATGTGGATGGGCGGTTAAAAGCGACAAACAGTACACTATGCTGTGGCCTGCGGAGATGCAATCGAAAAGTGGCTTCTGATTTCCCTAAGTCCTGGAAACTCCAATGGCCGGGCGAAGCACGCACAGCCAATGCTGGCTGTCCGTAGGATCAAAGGTGTCAATCCGAAAAAAAAATCCTCCAAATTGTTGGTTTTATATTGGCGGCCCGTTGACATATTGACACGGCTGTGAAGCTGCCCTGTTGTGTTGGAATACAATGATCTGGAAGGTGTAATTACACACAGTCCATTACTGAAGCTCATGGCATGCAGCTTGTTGCAAATCCATCCCTGGTCACCTCCTGAATCTGCCATCCGCCTCGACCAAGGAAGTTGGATCAATGTAAGATGCCCCAGTTGGCAGATTGGTCGTTTTGAGTTGCTCCATCATTTCCTGCCTGCTAGCATGCAGGTCGACAGCAAAGAGCATTGACAAACACCCTTGCCGTGGTCTCTGCTCCTGCGCTGACAAAGGGGGAACCTCCTTGTAACATTTACGGGCCAGTTTCGGTAGGAACCCCGCAACGCAGACCAATCCCAGATCATGCGCTGAGCGGCCACGAAAATCAGCGGGCCCCACATTGCCCCAGTCTCCTCGCAGAAGGGACGTGTATGGCTAAAGGGGAGACACCGGAAACAGTTGGTTCCCGTGTTTCCTTTGCAACCACGTCAGAAAGGGGCCCATTGTTGGAAGATGTTGGAAGGAAACGCACAAGCGTACTCCTGCAAACTCACAAGAATGCATTTGCTTGCAAGGCAGTGCGCCCCTCCCTGAGCAACCTCCAAGTTGACCAAACTGACGCAGTTTGACTTTTACCTTCCTTGACATCCCAAGTTTGGCAAACACCCGCTGCTCGCCCGCCCGCGTTCTGACAAGCAATGGGCCTAGGCTCAGGTGAAGCCAAAGGAGTACGAACTACCAACCTTGGAGCCTGAAGGGGCTGCAGTGACCAAACTGGCCCTAACACCAGGTAGGAAACGAGTGATTGCCAGTTGTCCACGTTCGTCAACACGCCAAACGCCGCCAATGCCAGACTGAATCAGACCAGGCCAGCACCCACTTTGCAAGCGCGGCGCATGCAGCTTCCTGCTGAGTGCGCTGCCCGCTCAACACTGCCATCGAGAGGATGAAAAAGGTAAAAAAGTGCCTCGATCCATGTGAGTCCATGTGCCATGGTTAACTCGCCAATGGGGGATGGTCAGGATAAACATCCCAGACTAAATGGCCAGGTGAGTGGATGTCCTACGGTGAAGGAAGTTTCCAGGATGGCTTCTCACATTCCAGAAGTCTGCACCGACGACGCAGAACCAACATGTCTGGACCCTGGACGAGGTTCTCTCTCTCGCTCTCTGGGCTGATCCAGGTTGGAGTGCTGAATTTGACTAGCCTCGGCTTTTACTTGCCCGGGTCACCTGTCTCACTTGGACCTAGGGCTGCCCATTGGCTCTGATTTGCATTTGGTGGCAGCTGGGCCTTGCTCCCGGCCGCTATCAATTTAATTACGGTGGGGTTTAGGCTAGCTTCGATCTTAATGAAGGGGTTTGGGGCAAAGCTCCAAAGCCGCCGCAAACCAGCTGCAGCACCAATCAGCTCCAAGCCCACCCCAACAGCAGCCTAGATTCCTAGATATCAGCCCTTTGCTGAGCCTAACCGAACCCCCAAGGGACCTAGAAAGAAGCCAGACCGAAATTAAACCGGCTCCGAGCAAGTCCCAACTGCCACCAAATCAGGACCAATAGGCAGCGCTAGGTCCAAGCGAGGCTGTTGCCACCGAGCCAGCCAAGCAGCCAGCAAACCAACCGACCGGGGTTAAGCCCCAACCAGGGAGCCAAGGCCTCAAATGGGAACTCAGGATCTGCCGTTTGAGACATGGTGTCATGGCGCCTATGGTGGCACAAATGGCACTCTTCAGAAGCGATCCTCATGGGACCAACTGCTGTCCAGTGGTCTACTCGGCCAAAGCATTTCCAACGGCATATGGCAGCAATGCCAGGGCAAACTAACCACTCTCCTCCAAAGAGTCAACTACATGTTATCGTAGGAGTCAAAATTTGGCTCCGTGGAAACCATGAGGATCGCGGGCATAACTTCACTATAACTTCAGATTGATTTTGGTAACTTGAAACGCTGCTTGCCACAGAACATGGTGCAAACATTTGAACAGGCGATACTTCAGGCGAGGGAGGGTGGCTCAAATCGCGTTGCTCGTGGCAGGCTCGTGGCCCCAAAATCTCAAACGCCTCGCCCGGGCCTGCGAAAGCTCCTTCGAAGCACCTGATGCGCGCAGGCACTTGTTGCGATAAGGGGACACGCAGACTGCTGAACTTCAGCTGAGCTTGAAGGCACATCTTGATGAAGAGGTGGGACCTTTGGATTGATTCAAGCTTGGTTCACAGTCTCGACCGTATTCCAAAGGGTACACCCGCAAGCCTTTTCTTACCCTTCCTGGCGAGGACTCATGCTTCACACATGACCTGGAGCAGGTCCTCATCGACTACACTTGGTCAAAACCAATCGGGCACTAGGAAGCTTCCTGCTTTGTCCAGCATGCAACGTGCAAACTAAGATTCGAACCATGATGAGCTCATACTTGTCTTCTCGGTTGCCTGCGCGCTTCGCAGCTTTAAGTACCTATGCGCCACCAACTTCATGAAAACTTGAACAGGCAGCACGGGCCTATCTGCCCAAATCCAATGCTTCCGCACTGGCTTGCTAGCCCACGTGTAAGCGACATGACCAGCCCCAGCCAATGCGGAACATTCTCATCACAAGAACAGGGCCACCGCAAGGCTTACGTCTCAAAACGTGCGAAGGCCCCAACATCTCAAACGGCACTGCGGCACCTTCAGCAACTTGCTCCACACCATTTGAAGCTTCGCGAGCTACCCGCGCATCGCGCATACTGCAACGCGGAGTCTGCTGGCATTGGCCATTGGTCCAGTGGCTTCGTCGCACTGCTTGACAGAGTTGCTGGGAAGTGAGGAAAAAGAAATGACGTGAAATCACAGTGAGAAGCACTGCGCTTGCGTGTTTGGTCCGTGTCCTCCACTGAAGACGACATCCGCTCCAGGCCACAGTGGACATTAAGGCGAAAACGCGCCACAGTTTGCTTGGTGTTCTTGCTGCTAAGCGGTGTATTCGTAGATGGCATCATATCAGCCACTATTCAGGCATTCTGCAGCTCACCCTTGTCTTGATCTTGGTCGACAATCTGCAGGTTGTCGTCATACAGCATCTCCCGCCACTCTTCCACCAGCAGCTCCACAGTTGTTTCGTCCAGCCCCGGCATGGTGCAAAGCATCTTGCAGGCTTCGAGGCTCTCAGGAGGATAATACCTCAGCATTGCTAATTCGACACCGCACTTTTCCCTACCACACAGAAGCGTCGGGCCAATAGCCAAGTCTTACCCGCTTCCCTTTTCAAAAGGGCCCAGGAGGGATTTGGCAGATCAAGTTCCGCATCAATCTTCGAAAGGTAGCCATGGCTCACTCGCAGAGACGAAGTATGAACTGTGAAACGTGTGCGCCATGTGCTGGCTTGGGCAAGTTGGGCTTGATTTAGTGTGCGCTCCGCTGTACTATATGTCTCGGGACCGTCCTTGAGGGAAGGCAGGGTAGAGGCCCCAGTGGTCCCCACAAAAGGGGACATGGACCCCTCCCCCATTCCTGCTTTAAGGGGCGGACAGGTTGAAGAAAGGGCGGTGGTGTCCCACTGCAGCTAAACTCCTTTGGTCTCAAATCGATGAAGATTGATCATTCATTATTCCAAGGCACGTCCATGGCTGGATGTCCATGTTGTTCTCCTTGCCGAAATTGTAGACTTCCTGTCCACATTTTTTTCCGCAAGTGATTCTTTGATTGACCAACGCAAGCTCATACTCTATCAGAGCCCTTCGCCACAAGATCGGATCGCCACGACCTTACGACCTTGGCACTGAAGGTTTGCGTGTGACTGCAAAATCTCCTTGGGTTGACCTCATTTTCGGAGGGGTTCTGCAATGCTTACAGAATTGAGGGATCTCCAACTAAAAGGAGCTTTACCATGAGCTCGTTATATCCCCAGGTCGCTATAAACCAGGCAGATTGCCCCCTGGCTCGCCAAATGGTCTCTGCCTGCAGGCGCTGGTAGGCGATCTGCGGATCGATCGCCGGGTGCGAGGCCCAGTCCCACAGCTTGGCCTGAGAGCTTTGGCCAGCGGAAGGCACCGTAGGGCTACCTCTCCCATTTCCAGGGTTCCTTTCCAAAAACCCTCACGAAACCCAGGGAGAACGGCCGGTGTTGGGCCTTCAGGAAAAAAACACAAGTGCAATTGGAGAGAGTAGTGCCATGAACCTACAGAACAAGAACTGGGAGTAAAAAGGAAGGGGTGAAGACTGCACCTCACTCAGATGGGAAACATTTATCTGAGATGCAGTGCAGGAGTTCGACCATAATGCCATACTCCCTCCGGCGGTTTTGGTGCATTCCATGGGCTTTGCACCTCTGCCCCCTGCCTGAAAAGTCAGCTCGTAGTGCTCTGGGCGAGTGGTCCTGGAATTCTCGTGGCTGCAAGGTCCGGAGCCAAAGCCAAAACCGCACTTGATAAATGCCTCGGGTGAAACCCTGGCTCAAAATGCCTCTGCATTGCTGACTTGCACAAATGATTGGTGCGTGGGCTAAACCTACTGCATGCATGTAGTGGAAATCATGCTTCATCCACAAGGCGGGAGTGCCAGTAAATCATGTTGAAGAACAAGGACAAGTGACCACAGACTGCTGCACTTCTGGCAGGTTGCTCCAAACAAATGCAGCGGGCAGCAAATCGCATCATGAATGCCAACCAAATGACTTCTCAAGCGAAAACCTGCCATGTCTTGCTTCACAAGGTCGCGACTGTGCAACGCACCATTTGAGCGTCCTCTTTGACATAGATCTCAACTCTCAACATTGACGGCTGACCCAGCAAACAAAGTATACCCAAGCGTCCTGTAGGTCATGAATATCACCACCCGCGGGTCACCCTCAGGCTCATCCGGGCCAGGACCGGCATGGACAATGCCATCCTCACAGGCTCGCGGCTTGAAGGACATCCCTCATGCCCTGAAGACGGACCAAACCCAAGACATAATCAATGCTGTTCCGGCCAGGGGCCAAAGGTAAGGAATGAACAAATGCATAGAATAGTACATCAATAACTGCCTCGGGCTCCAAAACGAAAAACAACAAAATTAACCGGGACCAGCTTCTCAAAATCCTTGGAACTGATTGCAGGTTCACGAGCACTGCCCCAAGAATGAATAGCAACTCCACTTAGGCCCTTTGCAAACTCTCAATTTCGTGCAAGCTGTTCGACCCCAGGCCAGTTGACAATTGACATTCAGTTGCGACAGCAAGCGCTGCTCTTACGGCTCCGGAGAAGCTGCAAAGAGAAGCTTTAACCCTTGGTCTGTGACGTCATTGTTTGGTCATTTGAGGTGCTAGCGCCTCCTACAAACACTTCCTAATTTGAGCACAATTGTATACGTTCAGACTGCCCTGCCCTGACTGAAAAAACAGCCAACCCCCTAAAGGCCTAGCTATCAAACCTGCAGCCAAGTGAAACATAGACTGCAAAGCCTCCCCACAACAGTGGTCCGACACCATCTCCTTGATTTGCACTGCGTCTCCAGCCGCAAAGTTGCTCGTGTAGGCGGGGACCATGCGCCTTCAGCCGAGTGCTTTGCTTTGAAGGCAATGGGCAATAATGACAAAAACCAGCTATATAAGATCCGAGATCTGAGTTGGACATTGCTAAAACAACAGCTTCAACATTCCCACGCTGGCTGACAAGCTGATGGGCCCAATGATTGGAGCCTGTCACAAACACTTTGGGGAATTCCCATGTTGGCCAGCTGTGGGCAAGACTCACAGAACAAATGGGTATGACCACGGTAAAACCTACTGGATACCTACAAACTCGCGGATAAGTGACTCCTCACGTTCAGCTAACAAGAGTGCGCATGCAAGTCACGGCTTTTGGGGAGCAGACTTTGGTCACATTGCCATGCAGCAGCGTGAGACATATGCCTTTGCCAGACATCGAAACAATTGTTTGGCACGCAGCTGCGGGTTTCAACCGGTGCATTTGTACCTCAGCTGAATACCACAGCCTTGCCACTGGTGGAGAGGGGTTCGGGTGGGAACTCCTCCTCCTCAGGGAGCATCACCGCGCAATTGCACACATATGGGCCTTCTCCTGGCACCGAGCCTTCTGGCTCAAGGAAGTGCGCGCCATAGCGGGTGCGGCCCGGTTCTGCCACCACCTCCAGCCAAAAGCCAGTGGGCCCACGCCAAATGCTCTTCACCTGCCCTGCAGACATCTCCGGGAAAGCGCTCTTCAGGTTGGCATCTGATTTGATCGCCTCAAGGTGAGACGGATCAACGAATTCCTGTTCATAGTCTGCAGGTTTCAGGTCGGGAAGGCCAAGCGGCTTAAGCTCCGGCTCCGGCTGTGGAGGGAACTGAGCGTCGCCGACATCACAAAGCACTTTTGTGGACATCCATCCGCAACTCATGAGAGTATGCACAAAGGCGATCTTCTTCTCTTCGCCGTACTCCACCTTCAGCCAGTACTGCATCACCATCTCCTGTGGATGCTTTGCGACCTGGACAACTTTGCCGTACCGCACTTCTTCGTGGTCTTCAATCGCTCCACTAGCACACTCGAGACCTGAAACGATAAAGGCTTCCGGAGAATCCGTGATCTTGTAAACTTCATCGCCCAGCATAAGTGGCGGTTTTGTGGCACCCGTCTGTGATGTGGCTTCAATGGCTTTGGCCGGTCGGCCAACTCCGCTTCGCTAGTGGCTTTTGAAGCAATCGGAACCCATGGCAAACGGAAACAAGGCCAATGAGCCAGCGTGCCGCGGAAAGCCGGCCGTTATTGCAAGCATGTTGAGCTGCCTTGGTCGCAGCACAGATTCCTGTTGCCCACGGAACCTGCACATTTCAACGTGAGGCCGGCTAAATTGTCCGAGCAAGGCAGCCGGGGCGCTGGTAGACATGATCCACTGGAAGAACCTCGGCTGGATGGACTTCAGCACCCCCCCCCCCCCAGAGCACCCAGGCTGGCAATGTGCGACCACTTCATGCCTGATAACTTGTCCAGTTTCAATGGATCCTACAGACTTTAAACGTAAGCCGGTCAGTTCAGCCAATGCATTCCAGAACTGTCAAAGCAACACGGCACGAGCAGGCCAAGGGGCAAGCGGAAAGCTGTTGTAGACCAAGCCAAAGGTACCCTCCTCCAGCAACTCCCTCGCATTAACTCCCATCATTTTGGCGATCTCCTAGACGCGGACAATTCGCAGAAATAATGCCTTTCACCCAAACAAATACTACCAGACAGCCCAGCTTTCGAGATGCTTGATCTTCGCTCTACTGGTCCAAGTCAACAAGACTAAAGCCATGCACATTTAAAAGATGGACACTTGTTTTGCGACAAACAAAAGCATGGAATTCGGAACTCCCCATCAAAAAATCATAGTTTCATACCAATGTGGACTAGCAAACACCGCGAACGATGCCAAAAAGCCTCGCTTTAAAGGATGTTGTTGTGCAATGCTGTGAACCCCAGGTGCTCGTTTGATAAGCTGCACCAAAACCGTTCTGGCGAAAGCCTGGCTGGATGTCCCTGCCGGTCCTCGCGACTCGGCCTCGGAAGCTGAGGGTCATAGACCAGTGTCGGCCGCGTGGGCATCAACGCCAGGATCACCTGCTGTTGCCAAGGCTTCATGGAGAAACCCATAGGCCGCTTCACCCAGGTTGCTGTACTTTGGGTTTCCATGTTGGTCATGTCGACCCAGCCCAAAAAAAGTCGGAAGCGCACCATGCACATACTCCCCTTTGCCTTTGAGGCGAAGCGGGGCCTGGCTTCCATCCCCGTCAGCACCTCTGAACGGCATGTGTGAACAAGCCTCACTTTTAAGAAGCGATGGGACAACATGACAGAGTTGGATGTTTACAGCGCAACTCGCATTGATGCGTCAACTCGTGGCGGCCCTGGCGCGCGTTTCAAGCATCAAAGTAGTAAAGTCCCACACAGGCATGCGAAGACATGCCCCAAGAGGTTGTGTTACCTGGTTTCACGTTTAAAGGGCGGAGTCACACTAGGATGGGCTGAGGGCTGCTTTGTTTGCAGATGTCTTGCTGGAGGGTCGCGGAGTTAGATTGGTTTGGCAGCCAGGTAACCGCGATAACCAGGGATCAAACGACAAGGGGACTGGACAATGACCAAGGGACCGGCCGCGAAACAAGGAGGAAATGAAGGGACTGGGTATGTTTTGCATATGTAAGCAAATTACACATGCCCGTTGCAGTACATTCCGATGCATGGCATCGCATCAGATCACATGATTTGTTCACATACACAAAGTGTTTTGCTGCACTTATGCCAGTGATGCTCCCAGCTCCAAGTAGGCAAGCTATCACGAATCAATGTCTCACTTCCTGAGTGGATTGCTCAAAAACAAACACTTTTTGTTTACCACTCAAATGCTCTACCCAAACAGCTTAAAGTCCAGGAACTCCGGAAGTGAGATGCACTAGCTCTTCTGATGTGCGATGCAAAGGCAGGTGGTCTGCTTGTGAAGCAGGTCCCTCGGACCACGCCTGCACCTGCCCGGGGAGCAAGTCTGTGTGGGGCACCTGGCTGTGGCTTCCGCCGCATCGCCATGATCAACGGTCAGTCACGACGAATGTACTGTAAGGGAACCGGAATGGAGTATACTCACCAAATACCCTAATCAGGCTTGCACACAAAGTTCCAATTCTAGTATTCTGGCGCCACTTGATTTCTCACAATGCTAGCTCAAGTGGGCAAAGGCCGACAGCCAGCTTGGCTTTTTGCTCACTCCTTTGAATCCGCCACATAATGAAGAGGCTATTTGATTTTCACAGTGACGCTGAGGCCACATCCGCATTGCGTAAATTTGGATGCCATTGTGCTAGACAGTACTCATGCTGCTCAACCCGGAAATTGACGACGCTATGTACCTTGTTCATGAACAAGCCAAATGCTCAACGCCTGTCTCCGTCAAACTTGTCTGGCCCGATTCCATTCCACATTTGAGGGCAAGGCAAGCAACAACTCAGCAAATCATCCCTTGCTCACAAAGTGGACCCAGGGCGGATCCTCAAAACCATAACAAGCTCATTCTTGCAAGACATATCTGGGCAAATCTGCCTTCCGAGGCCGTCGATCTTTGAGCACTGGACACTGTAAGACCCCCCAGCTGCCCCCTGTGGTGAGGCCACACAAACCATCAAACTCCGAAGCGCAGCCGAACCATTTATGAACCCTTAGTACGAACACCTGGTCTTTGCTCTCTTCCACTGCCAAGTTCAGCAGCAAAACACCAATCATTTGGCCATGGGTCAAAACCCCTTACCCCCAGTGAACATCCCAATCCCCACTAAAATAGGCTGGAATGGGTGGTGAACCTATCCCACATGGTACCATAGGTTTTGAACCATGGCCATTTGGGCCCAACTTGGATTCACCAGGCGCTGGCCTGCATCTCCTCCGCTCCCACGAGGGCGCACATGTCCTCAGAAGCCTCCCCACCATTGGCGGTCGCCACCTGCTCCAAGGCGCCTCGCAGCTGCGAGAGGAAGCGCTCCAAGACCTCCCGGTGCCTTGGCATTGACCCAATGGACTTCGTTTCGGTGTGCGCAGCCAGGGTGAAAGGGTCCCCTCCACAACACACAGACCCAGCTGGCTGTGATGTTTGATGAAAAGGAAAAGGCGACACAGCTCAGGTGAACGGGCGGACATGCACACGGAAATCAGGCCCAAAAAGGTGCATGGAAGCTTGTCCACTGGTAGATGGAAAGGAGCTCAAGGGACAAAGGTTCATAAGCTACGTGGACATAGCCTTAGCGATGAGTATTGAGCTGCTTGGATGACTCCGAGTTCCACCAATCCAAAGCATGGCTCCTACGAACCAATGGAAGCCCAGTTTCTTTTCAACGGTTGGAAAACGAGTGCAAGTGATCCTTGCTCGCCCCTTTAGAAGCGAAACTGTTGAGGTCAACTCTTCACAGTGGGTTCACCCCTCCATTTTCAGGATAGGTATATATAGGTATCATATCCAGGCGCTGGTGGCTTGCCACGTAGTCCAAGAAGGCCTCACTCTTCACCCCGGTGAGGTAGACCTGCACCCTCTTGCCAGTGATCCAGGTAACGACGCGATCGGAGCGGTGCTGCTCCTCAGGACATGGGAAGCGACACTCCTATGTACTATTTATCGTATGTGTTACGAGTACCTACATGGGGCAACGTGAGGGCCGAAACTACATTGCAGGTCCGTCCTCCCCTATTTCTAGGGCAAATATGCATCAAAACGCAGGCGCCCCGTCGGATGTTCAAGGAAAGGCAACAACTGCCATTTGGAAGGGTCCCTAGTTGGCACATCGCCCAAGAGGAAGTGTAAAGCTTCCATATGTCAAGGATCATTCGCAATGCCAGTTGATCAAGGGCCCCCTCCTACAACTACAGTAGATCAGGCGCAACACCAATTAACATCAGATCAAGAGGCCGCAAGTGGCTAGCTTGTCAGCAGCTGAAGCTTACCCAAAACGCCAGTGGCTCAGCTTCTCTGGGGGCAGGATACAGCCTAAACACGACCCAGCTCACTAGTCAAGTGGCTAGCATTCTGTCACCAGACTGGGCACTTGCGCTATCCGAGGCCTAGCTTGAGGTTTGAGGCATGGTTCTTAGATGTTCGTAGGATATGGTCTGGGTTTGGTTCAGGGATTCAAGTTGTTCTGAGGCGGGTTTTAAGTTTGCTCCAGGGCCTAAGGTTGGGGTTTGGTTGAGTTTCGTCCAGGGCCATAGTTTTGGGATTTCGGTTTCTTTAGCAGCCGGGTTCAGAGTTGCAGTTGGGTTCGGCTGGCATTGGTTGCAGGCACACCTCGGACAACAGCACCTGCTGAACCACATGAAGGCACCAATCGGCCGAGCTGCTGCGAAGCTTCTGATGGCAGGCAAAACCTCCGGTGGCACAGAGACGAAGCCTGGGAGATCTTGCATCACCTTGCGCGCAAAGACCCAAACGAAGCTTACGGGGAGGCCCCAGGTGTGCTGTTGCTGCAGTCGGCTGTCTTCTTTTACAACCACTTTTGAAACGAGAAAAAAAGGGCATTGAGCCAGGCTCCAGAAACAACCCAGCCTCTCCATCTCCAAAGCCTTCAGGAAGATCAGCTGCCTGAGCCAGAGCAAAGCGCCTGCCATTTGTGGCATCGAGTTGCTCCGCAAGACTCTGAGAGGTGTGCTCAAACGTGGGTGTGTTTCCAAATTGGAAAGCCCCACAAACTGGATGATTTCCCCTTCCCCTTGTTACTTTCCAAAAAGGTACCGTCAATAGACTTCCGCGAGAGGTCAGGTTCCTTCCTACTTCCTGGCCTTGCGCGAAACGGGGCGCTTCAAGCGCCAGCCCAAAGAGGCGCTGGCCAGGGCGGCTCCGGCTCTGAGCGAGGCTTTGCGCCGGGGCGACCTCGGCCGAGCCCGGGCCTGGGGTGCGGGGTCCCTGCCTTTGCCAAGAAGGTTGGCAGATCAACACAGATTGAGCCCCAAAAAGGTTCAGGACCGTCAGGTCCACACCAAGCGAAGCGGAGATGAAATCAAGAAAGTCTCAAGATAGTTGCAGCCCGGGATCAATTAGACCAAGTCATGCAAAGTCGGAGAGGAGTCAAGCCAACTTGAAAGAAGTGATGCCGAGGGAAGCCCAGCGAATGCCAAATCTCAAGTTCCAGCCAGGCGAAGCCAAGTGCAGTCCAGGGCAAGTTGAGCTAAATGGGGATAAGCAAAGTTGTATCATTCCTATATATATATGTATATACACACATATATGTATATATATATATATGTGTGTGTGTGTGTGTGTGTGTGTGTGTGTGTGTGTGTGTGTGTGTGTGTGTGTGTGTGTGTGTGTGTGTGTGTGTGTGTGTGTGTGTGTGTGTGTGTGTGTGTGTGTGTTTGGATAACTTGCACCCCTGCCAAGAGGGTGCCTCAAAAGTATGTTGAAGTGTATGCTTCTGTAACACCAACGCTATGTTGCATCCACCTGCCCAATTGTAGTTCAATGTGGGGGCCTCCCTATCCTACCATGCTCGGTAGGCTCTGTTGATCGGCCACTAAGCAACAACTTTGTTTGCCAAACAACGAGTACTGAAAAGACTAAACTGTTTAATCCTGTTTATGCACTATGCAACATGCAAAAACACGATAAGTTTAGAAAGACACGTTTGGCTCGGTCTTCTTGCACCTTGCAAAGGGTCGGGGGGTCGGATGCGATCAAACGCATTGAAATGCATTTGCTCTTTGAACAAGCATGAGCTCGGATGCGAATGCGTTTATCCTTCGAACAAGCATGAGCCCGTTTTGCGCGGAAGCAGCTGGAAGCCATGCCCGCTTTTGTCACAGTCGCTTCCTGCTGTCCAGGACTCTGGATCTGACAGTAACCGCTGACTACGGCAACTACTTTGCTTTTTTTCGTTTGGGACGAGGTCCGCACAAATATTGAACCACAGCCCACGGAAGCTCTAGCCCTACCAGCCCAAAGATGGACATAGATCGACAACTTGTGGAGCCAAGCAGGGAGCCATGAAAGAATGCGCGTAGCGTGTCCATAGCAAGCTGTTTGGTAGGTAAGCAATAGGTATGACAAGTACTTGTCGTTGAATCAGGCTAGACACCTCGGCCGCTCGATGTAATGCCAGGCTGTGGGTGGCAGCCGGCTGAGCGTCTGCATTTGTGAAGTTGTCACATGGCCGCAGCGCATGGCGATCATGAGCCCCAACCACACGCAGGCCGCGGGCCTTGCGTGTGTGTCTTGTCTCCAGGGTCCTCTGGTGCTCAAAAGCTGCTCACTTGCTGAAAATGCGTTTGGATTGCGAAGCTGGGTGTGCCAAACATGTTGACTACGGACCAATGCACTGCACCCAGTGGTGCTGCAACACGTTTCAATAGCACACCACCCCAAACTTTCTTTTTCAGCAATTCGGACCTGTCATTGGAGCCGGCCTGACATCAAAAAGTCTAGTATAGTCTAGTTGTCGTGGGCACTTTGGCTCTGAGCCCTACCAACGTTCCAAGTTGCATGGAGGCCCATTTGGTTGGGAAATCCATAGCAATGGCTTTGCAGGGCTCTGAACAGGGCTCCCAACAGGGTGAACAGCTTCAACCAAGCCCAATCCCTGCAAACTGCCGCACCAACCAAACCTCATGCCTAAAAAGTCACCAACCCTCAAATTGGCCGCCCACACATTCAGGACAACCTCATCCATCTCATTGGGGACATGTACATGGGGATCGTTGCTCAAGTTCCGTGCGCAAAACCTGTGACCAGCGCAAAAGCCTTTCTAATTTCGCGGTTCGGAGAGACCTAAGCCTTTGGCAAGTGAGCCACTGCTGAGTGAAGTCAAACGCGCGCGCGCGCACACACACACACACGTGCAACTCATGACCATGCAGGCAACTCACATAAACTGAGCAATGGGCCACCCAACTGTTGCAGCTTGCCCAGGCAAACAAAACGGCATCCTCTGCTGCCCGGCCTTCGCTGGTTTCGACACCTGTCTGTGAATACACCTAAGCAGACAAATGTTGAGTGAAGCAAATCTGATGAAAGCGTTGCTTTGTCTCTTTGCTGGCATGCCGTGGCTCTGCGGCTGCATCCTCGCAAGGCGGCGATCCTTTAGCTGCGCGAGCTGATTTCCTGATTGAAAGCAATGGCCAGGTCCCAGTGCCTGAAGCATCTATGGGGTCGACTATGACAAGCAGCCTGAAACAACAGCTACGATACTCAAAAAAGCACCGGTGAAAGGCAAAGCACCAAAGAATCAACGCGCACTAAACGGCAGCCCTTCATTGCTCGAGGCGACGACTCCCCAAGCCACAAAGTTCAGGTCACCCAGGTGGATGCACTCCTGTGCGACAACATGGCAACCACATGTCTGAGGAAGCAAAGATCAAAGCCAGGAAACAGGGGCCCTAGAAAAATACGCCAAACAGCCATACATATGCCATGACCGAATGGCCGCTATCCCTGGCCCGAATCAAATTCTGCAACCCAGCATTTGAAGGGCCCAACTTGCGAAGCCATTGCTTGCCACCTCGTTTGCTCTGTTCAGAGGCTGAATCTAGAAGCAACGCGCGGGCCCGACTGCCTCACACTCGTTCCGATCACTGTTCTTGGTTGAGTCGAGGGTGTGTCCCGTAGGAATTGGCCTCCTAGTTCCCTCGAACGCCATCCCAAAGCAGGACTTCCCAAACATCACAATTCTCCCCACCAAAAGAAAACCCATAACTCGCTCCCAATGGCAGCCACAAATCCACGTTCAAACCATCCCAAAAAGGAAGCATTAGCACGCCTGCAAAGCCCCGGCAAGTATCATACGTGGGAAAATTTTCTGAGAGAGCAAAGGAGAGCCATCAAACTGCAAATTTGAGGGCCCAGTTTGAGACCTGAATTTCATTCTGGCATCTGTAGGCCCATTTTGCAGGCCCTGGCATTCAGCCCGTTGCGCCTGCCGGACTCTGTGGCCAGGCCAGGCCTGCACGGGTGAACAAAGTGGTTCGCGGAATCAATCCGAATAAATGTCTGCCCAAGGGTGGGAAAGCAATACTGCAACAGTACAATCAACACTAAACAAAAACTAAACATACTGCAGATGCTAAACCAGCTTCAGATCCAAATTAAGCAAGCAAGAGTGACTGAGGCTCCAAACAGCCACATTCTATATTGACGTCCTTGACAAAGAAACAGTCACACTAACTTATTCAGCGGGGGCAGCAGAAAAGCCTGTTATAGGAATTTACCAAAAGCCTTTAGGGTTGGGAGTTGAGGTAAACATGGCACCCACTGAAGCAGTACTTACCCACACTGTGCAAATACAGGAAAGAGTGCGAATAGCCAAAGCAGTGAAATTGACAATGCTCAATCGTCCTGCACAAAGGCAGAACCAGTGCCAAGCAACAATGAACCAGAATCAAATCTACAACCGATACTACACAAACTTTAAACCCATCTAAACGGTACTGGGTCAATACCAAGCAAACACGAAACCAGCATTAAAACACACATAAAATCAGGCCAGCACAAAGCAGTGCAAACGCAATACCAACGCAATGCACGTGTTCGAAAACATGTCCAGCTCGTTTCCAGGGTCTCCTCTCTTTGTCCTAGGCCTTCAATTGACCGTGGTGCATTTGGCCGGCATCAAGTGGAAACACGTTCTGTAGAGCAATGTGTTCATGCGGCCAGTCTGGTTTCTGCCTGTGATTTGGCAAAGGATACCACCCAAGGCCGCAATATGAAGGGACCAACAAGACCCCGGAAACCAAACCAGCTTTGATGCAACTTGATGGCTGCGGGGTCTGCTTTGCT